TTGTCACGCAATATGGGCATAAAAATACAAACTTTACTTACTACCTTCTTCAGTACTTTTTAAAAATAGAGTATATAGTCTTTAATGAAATGTCTTCATGGACTTATGAGTTTCATTTATTCCACCTGTTCCTATCATCGTCATATGACTTCTTATTGTTTCTTTCTTCTCGTTGACTTCCTCCCCTTTTCTCTCTCTATCTGACTTACATTTATGCACGGTTTTTATAATTATACGACATGGTATTATGAGATCTTTATCAATTGTGCTGCTTAAAAGGAATATTCTTTCTTTTATTACTACTTTTTTGTCATAAAAAGGTCCACAACTTTTATTTAATTTCATTCTTTTTTCTGAGCATAGCACAATCGCATTTGACCGTATCATAATTTTTCTTAATTCATTTCAATGTCATATACCTACTATATCATTAGAGCACTTCATATTATGAACTTTAATTAGTTCCCTCTTTTCTTCTTTTTGTGTCTCTCTTTTGCAGCTAGCTCTCCCCCTCTCGGATCCGTTCCCTCGAATTTATTTAATATTATGTTATGTTGATTGTTGCACTTTTATGTAAATAGCACAATTTATGATTTTTATATGCCACACATCACATATTATATGCTAATTTTGTCATATTTGCTTCTACATAATTTTTTATTGCTCAATTTTTGTGATTCTATGAGCAAGTCAACAGTCGTTTTGGGTGTTTATTGTGAATATAAGATTGTTGCTTTTAATTTTAATTAGGATACATCAGTGTTGCTTATTAGGGACGGCAATTTTCATGTGGTTATGGGGCAAAACTTTTCACACAAGAATTTTTTTTATGTAAATTCAAAAAATATTATAAAAACTTGACATCCTCCTCAACGTTTATAAACTGAGGATTTATTATAATTTTCAAAAATTACCTTCAACGCGTTGAATTTATCTAATAGTTCCTTTCCTTCACATGAGTCACAATCCACAAATAAAATTCGCATTTAAACGACAAATCAACCCTTAAAAATGCTCTTCATTCATCCCCTTCGAAAATATCTCTCCAACGACTTTAATATCAACTTTATTCATATTTTTTTTTTTTCGTTATTTAATTATGCGATTGTCAAATGCGAAGAAGTTTCGCATGGGAAGATAAATTAATGTCTCATGAATTATAAAGAGAGAACAATTGCATTCCACTATGTTATAGTGAAAAAGAATGAATGAATTTATAGAACCGAGGAGGAAAAATAAAAATTCCCAAGACACTTCGCAGTGTGTGATCACTTTGCTTGCTCTTCTTTTTTGTCTCCATACTATAATGGTTGTGAGGTGAGCATCGAAGCTGATTTGTTTATGATGTACACACTTTTTACAATATTATAATAATTATTTTATGTAGTTATTTGAAAAAAAAAAACAAGAACATCGCATAGATGGAACTTATTATGTATAATAATGGCAACAAGAAGAATAAAACATACACATAACATGACAAAGAATCGTGAGATTTTTCACATATCACAATCGCGACTCTTTGCGACTCTAGATATAATTAATATGCATGCGTGTAAGTTATGTGCCATTCTTTAGTCGCATGGAAGTAAATTAAGTGAAAATTTCTGCACAGTCGCAAGTCTTCAAAGGAAATTGAATTGATTCTATTAGATGCCTAAGTTTAATGACTTCATTTATTAAGGACAGGCTTTTAAAGAAATTTTATGAATGGAAAGGTTAATAGTCCATTTCTAGAACGATATAAGTTCAACGACAAGCAACAACCTCTTAAATCTTTTTTCGCTTTATCCAAATGACACACCAAAGCACTTCCTTCATTTTCAAACATCCAAAAAATTCTTAGCGATCGCATAATAAAGATTATTAATGATAATTCTAAGGTTTTATTTGTTTCTTCTTCTAAATTATAAATGACCATAAAATTTGATTCAACTCTCTTGCTGGTCTCTTTCCAGCCACTACTCATTTTTAATCATTTCCATTTTGCGTTTTGTCGTTGTCGTCATTTGAAAATGAACAAAAATTATTAAGATAGAGTAAAAATTACCATTTACGTTGAATGTGGACGGATGTGGCTCGTCTTCAATAAAAATTCACACACCGCCTCACACACTTGCTAGACATTTTAAATTCTGTACTTTTGGTTAAATAGAAAATGAGTTACTTTAATTATCTGGATACGAAGTGGAATAAGAGGTTCTTAAAGAAATTAGATTATTAATAATTATCTTATGTCCATGGACAACAGAATTAATGGATAGGGACTTCCTCAATGAATGTATATTACATGGTTATTAGAAGATTGCAGCGTTAAATGTGGCACCAGAACAAAGCCGAAAACCATCACCACTCAACAAGGGTTAAGCATCTGCAAAAAAAGTGTGTAGAAAATGCGAAGAAGAAATGCTGTTTTGAGCATGCAGCAAAATCAGTAAATTACTTTCGAAGAATCTAAAAAAATATAAGATTTTATATAAAAATATGTAAAGTAACAGACAACAAAAGAAAATTATACAAACTATCATATGTACAGGAATTCTACAGCTATAAGAACAAACATTGAGCATGAGAACTAAAGTTACATTTCTTCTCATTTTTAATTCAAAAACGCAAGAGTCCCGAGAAGAAAATAATCAATTTGATATTTGTGATTGATCATCATCAACAAGCTTGTCTCGTCTCGCTTCTCATCATAAATAATTCTCGTATATCATTTCATTAAATAACAAACTAGAAAGCGAAAAGAAGAAGAAATAAATTATACTTCCGATTAATCCATGACTATTTTTAAAAATCACTGATTATCGTCCAATAGTTGATTGCCTAACGGAAGTAATTAAATGTCACATTATACTGACTTATCTCACAACACGCATCTCATCGACCAAATGTTTACATCCAAATTATAAAAACATTCTCTCGCACTCATCGATCTTCTCACTTTTGTTGCCTTACTGTTCAAGCTTATGAAAATAAACAAAAACATTATTGTTAAGCTTGCGACAGAAACAGCAGTGGTGCCGTTGAGATGTAAAATTCTGGAAGAAATGAGGAATGTAGCGCTAATGAAAATAATATTTTTTGTTTAAATCGTTTAAATATAAAATTTAGTAAATTCTTACAACTTTTTAGCACTGACACAGTAAATATGTGGAACGTTGTCGCCAGAGTTTATAAACTTTTGATCTATAATATTCTTGCTTTGTCAGTCTCTTATGAGTTTCTTGACTTTTGAATTTTAAAGTTCAACTTGCTGTTTTTATGTGACAATTCCTGTGCAGCATGTGTGGGTGATAATTGTTTTTCAAATTCGGGTAATTCCAAAATTTGAGGAGTTGTTTTTCTGGTTTTAGAGGCAAATTGGTAAAAAAGACTCATGAAGTCAAACTAAAGTCACTCTTGAATTTTGAAACTTCGTGTTCCTTCTCAAATCAGTGGCTAGAAAACATTTAATTTCGCATAGTTTAGCTACTGCATACAAAGTCTTTTATTTCTTATAAACAAATAAGCCAGACGTTGCTTTTTATTTGTTTTGGTTCTATTATCACACTGATCGAGTCAATGTGCTACATCTAACAACACAGTTCATTTTAAATGGAAAGTTGTTTTCTCAGAGAACTTTTTTTCAGAATTTTTGTTGTTTCTCTTCGAGTTTTGACATCAAAAACAATGACAAACGTTTCATTCATTATAACATTTTTGTTGGGTTTTTACATTTAAGACCATTTAGTTTTACATGGTGACAGAATAATCAAAAACCGGATTAAAACTTTTGGCGTAATTTTTGAAAATAAAAAAATCTTTTGTAGTTCTTAAAAAAATTCTCGTTAAAAAAACTAGTTCCATTTAGTCGTCAGAAGTGTAAAGATCATTGTGCATAGAAGATGTAAGTTGAACAGAATAATTTTATGCAAAAATGAAACTGAAATTTTTACATTCGTGCATAGAAACATGAAAATCACTTTCATTTTATTGATTATCGCTGTGGCAATAAGCATTGCGCAATCGAAAGTAACGATGCCTCCGAGCAATTCTAGTGTCCAAACAAATCAATCAAATGAGTCTGAATCCGTGATTAAGCGTGAACAGAGAGAAGATTATTATAAAGAAGGCTTGAGCAGCCGAAGAAACATTAAGAATGTGAAAAGCATAAGAAGTGTGGAAAATTGGATAGGCCTTGGTTGCCTCGCAACAAGTCTGATCATATTACTTATTCTTTTAATCGTCATAATACACAACAAAGCAAGAAAAAAGTCGAATCTGCTGTATTTATATGCTTAGTGATGCTTTTAATGAATAAGGATTTTTTTGAGCATAATTTATTTACACTGTATAATAGGCGCGTAGCCAGGGGTGTGGATTTGTGGGGCAAACGTAAACAGAAATTTCTTTATTTGCTGGCGTTTTTATGAAAAATCACAAAAATACCCCCCCCCCCCTTAAATTTTTTCATACAAAAAATTTTTTGTCCCCTCCTCTTTAAATTCCTGGCTACGCCCCTACTGCATAAGCTTTGATAAGAAAATTTATTATATTTATTGCAATAAATTTAAGTTCCAATTGAACAAATCTCGCAAAATTAATTAAATAGATCATCTAGCAAAAATGATTGAATTTAATTTATTAGAGTCCTTTATTAATTTACATTCTATACAAGACCTTTATGAGGGCCTACGTATGCCTATAATTTTATCAAATTTTGGTCCTCCTTACCCTAGAATCTTAAGTAATTATTGAACAAAACTTCTTCTATAAAAAAATCATTTTTTAAAAAATTCATGCTGACTTCAAATAAGTAATTTTTTTGAGAGAATCATTTTATTACATAAGAATTAAAATTAAAAAATTTTGTATTGAATGTGAAGGGTAAAAAAAACATTTTAGTGATTAAATGACATTTGATTGTGAAAAGAGAACTAAATTAAGTTGAGTAATAAATAATCAATTATTTTCAAGTAACAGAATCACATTTGAATAAATTGTGTAACACAATAAAGATGTTGTAAGTGACATGTGATTAAAAGTTCTACTAACCCAAAAAAAAGTAAGAATCGGTGTCATACTCATTTGAATCTTTTTTTACAGAACAAGAGTAATTCTCTCAATTAACATTATCATTTTTCTGTGGAATTTGAATCATGTGTTTGGTCAATTTGCAACAAATTTCAAGTGCAATGAGAGTAAGCAGTCAGATGAGTATGTGAGAGATGTCAAAATTTATATCAACGAAGTTTCAGAGTATTTAAATTCAAAATCAACACGAGTAGTGGATTTGAGCACGATTGGTCTTGGATTTTTAAGTGATGGAGATTTTATTGGCAGTTCCTATCGTCACATTTCATCCCTAAATTTATCTCGAAATGTTGTTAAATCTATCAGTTTTGGGTTGATTTTGCGCTACCCAAATCTACAGGAGTTGGACTTGAGTCAAAACTGCCTTACATCTCTCGACGTAAAACATCGAATAATTTTCAGAAATCTCTCATCGCTCAATGTGAGCAGAAATTCAATTACAAACATTCATCCGTTCACATTCTCAAATGTATCGCTCGAAGTTGTTGACCTATCGCATAATCATCTCATAAGATTTTTGGCAGCAGACTTCGAAATACGGCAACTGTATATAAATGATAATAAGTTAACACAAATTGAAATTGATTCAGGACATCGTAAAGAGCTGAAGATTCTCGATACGAGCAATAATAACCTCAAGATAGTTCAAATCAATGTCGATTTGAGTAATTTGATTCTGTCCAACAATCAACTTACAATGGATGAATATTTTCGAATCAGAAATGTTTACGGAACATTAGACATGTCGAGGAATTATATCAGTGAATTCAATTGGAAATTCATAAGTTGCGTCACAAATCTTGACATCTCCCACAATCAATTCACAACATTTCATGTTGAATGTCCATCGAAACGTTTTCAACGAATAAAGAGGCTTAATTTAAATGGAAACTTTTTATGTAACTTCAATGATGCACAAAATATAACGAAATGCTTTCCAAACTTGAAATTCATCAGCATAATGCACAATCGATTGAATAAGATTCAAAAAATCAACATCAAAAGTACACTCTCCAAATTGAAAGTAAAGTCACAAATGTTCGATTATGATGTTCATCCAATAACTTTATGCGATGATGATGATTGTGATGCATTCAATATTTTCTTTAAAAAATTTGAATGAATGTGAATCAGATGATGATGATGTTTATATGAGGTGAAAGTAATCCAGGTGAATTTTATTTCAATATCAATAAATTTTATTTTTGAAGATTCATAGCTTTTCTATTTGTTATGCCTCAGTTTCATTTATTTTTCATATTTCATGAATTTTTTTTAACATCCCATTTCAAATTGTTTGAAAAAAAGTATCCCTTTGATGCACTGTTTTTTGTAGGAAATGGAAATTAAATGTGATGCACTATGTCAATTTCAAATTTATATTTCTACTTTTTTATGCAATCAAAAATTGAGAGAAATGAAAATGAACTTGTAATTCTCAAATTAAAACAGTTATGACTGAAAAATCTGCGCTCAATACACTCAAATCTTACCTTTCATTGTAACTGGATTTAAATTGAAGCACAAAAATCCATGCATCATCCCCCCAAAAATATGTATTTTTCTCTCTTTTATGGAGATTTTTCATTCACTATGCCTTTAACAATTTCAAATGGAAAAATCGCCATATGCTGAAATTGATTGATATTTTCATCACATACGCACACACTCTATCCATCCAATTTTTTTTTGCTGCCAAACGATGTAAAGTCATCATCATGATGAAATTTTTCATTTTTATCCCTCATATCATAACCGCACACATGTATAGTTGATAGAGATATATTTATGCTTTACAATTCAATCATCATTGTGGCAATATGTCCATTCAATAAATGGCTACATATACATATTGCCAAATTAATAAAGTGGATTAAGCTGGCAACAAAAAAAAATATATTGAGAGAGAAATTTTGTGCGCAATCAACAAGAAAAGTATTTGAGGTGTGTTATGAGACGCAGTGGAATGGACGCATTTTTATTGGTGCAAAAAATAATATTTAAGTTAAGTTTTCAGGCAATAGATTCAAGTTTTACTCAATAAACCTATATAAACCTAGACAAATTGAAAATTTTGCATCAACAAACATTCAGTTCAATAAAATAATAGAATCTGTTGAAAAAGTGTAGATAATTCCAATCATGTCTACAAAGGTGAGTATAACACACGTTTTTTTATGTAATCCAGAATTAAAATCATAAGTATGGAGATAGAGAAAGAAGAGAAATGAATTGAAATCTATCAAAATCAATTTGATGGAAATGGATTTCTCTGTTAAATGGATTTTCAGAGTAAAAAAAAAATTCAAAATGATTTTAACACGATTGTCTGTAAATCCATTGCTCAAGCAGTTCTATTTCCATCATCATATCAATGATATCCCAAAAATAAAGTCGGTGAAATTAATTAAAGCAGAAAAAAATGTCGAAGATGTCGATTTAAATTACAATCAACACAGAACTTGTTTTCTTATTCTTCAACTTCATTTTCGTCTGTACGTTGATGGATCTTTCGGTAGCGACGAGATGGAAATGCCGACATACATGATTTTAAAAGCGACATCAGATGAGTGACAAATATGAGATATACAAATGGATATACAAAATAGAAGCAATTATCGAAACGAGTAGTTCTTTGATGTTTATTTCTTCTGATTTCTTTCTCTAATCATGACAACTATTTTGAGTGGCACGAGATTTAAAGATAAACTGTGATAATGCGTTAACCAGAGAAAGTCTTTCTCCTGTAAATTAATTGACTAGATTATATTCATTTATATTCAACTGTTTGGTGAAAAAGCTGAAATTATTGCGCTTGGGTTTGAAACTAGGAACTTCATACTTAGTTTCTGTTATTTGATCACTTAAGGAGCTACTTTCCTTTAAATAGGAAACAGATTCAAAGAGAATCTCTAAGACCAGCTCATATTTCTCGAAAAATTTCATGAAAAGCTGTAAAAAAATTCCAAAAATGCAGATGCGCAATTATCTACTAAAAACATTAATTGCACTTATTTTTAAAAGCAAATTCCATAAAATCTTCAATCCATGACAAAGAGAGAAGAAAAATGCTTTTAATTAAACAAATTGCTGCTACCTAAAAAGCATGATTCTATTGAAACTCTTTAATTTCTACTATATTTCTACTAATTTAACAAACTATGTTCGTGATGTGCTCAGCAAATCACCATAAATCATCGAAAAAAAATGCCATGAGCAAGAAGGTGGAAGTTTATTGATCGTTAAATGAGAACAGGAAGCAGGCGGTAACTCACGTACAAAGCTTTGTAAAAAAAATATTCTATAAGTTTTTAATAAATTCTTAGTGAATTATGTGTTATGAGTTACGCATTTCATCATTTTTGATGTTCCTCTTTCGTTCTCATCAATAACTTTTTTTTTTCATTCATTTCCAATTCATTGATTCCATTTTCTGTAAGCTTCCGAAAAGATTTAGAACCCAGAAATTCCCACCTCATTACGGCGATAAAGTATGTGTTGGGAATATAGACTTAAGGTAGATTTTAAGGAGATGATGGAAATTGAATTGCACACACATTAATTTGAATCATAAAGTGAAAAATAATTTTGAGTTGTTTTCGTTTGACTGAAGATTCATTCCACATAAAAAACATTAAGATTTCTACTCGAACGATTGTTTGTGTAATGTTTAGTAACATTTTAAATTGAGTCAGTGAATTGATATAAATTTGTAGTTTGAGTTTTGTCTCACCGACCACATTGAAAGTCGAATTTCTTTCCGAGAATTCTTAAAAAGGACGTAAACTGAAGATGCAGTAATTCAACAGTTTAGGAATTAATGTTAACTATGCTCCATGCCAGAACTGAATTCACAATTGAGTTGTTTCCTAAAAATGCGTCAATCCAATGCGCCTACCTTACTTTTTTACTTCCATGTTTATTTCTTTTCCTCTTCAAAGAATCTTAATTCATTTTAATTTGCCTTAAGCGATGAGCAATAAGAGCAGTTAAGCATTTTAAAGCAAAAATTGTTTTATTTTGTTTCTCTCTCTTTGACTTAGAATTTAATTGGAACTAAGCTACTAAAATCACTTACAGCACCATTTCAGTTGTTAATTTATAACAAAAAATATGTAGAAAAACAAAATCATCAAAGAGAAGAGCAGAAATTGTTTATTAAAAGCGATTTTGTCGGGGCGATGAAGACAGATAACATGAGAGTGACAATCAATTAGCTGGTGAGACTTTTTTATGTCATGTCTCATTTTTTCAATCATTCCAACTTTTCTTTAGCTGAGACATATTCAAAAAAATAAATTGCTTTTTATTTAAGACTTCAAAAGAGGAAGAAAATATATTGAGGTTTTTTGAAAGTGCCTTCAAGTCACAAGTTTTATTATACAGTCAAGTTGACAGTTGGAAGTCTGTTGTCGTGTTTTGAACGGTCTTTTATGTCTCCTATTTCAAAGTTATTCGAATATCGTTGTTTGATTTATTTTTATGTGTCCAAAAAATTATTGGAAGTGGATTCTGATTTTTCTGAACGAAGGTTTTAATTCATTTAAAGCAACAATACGGTTTAAATCTATGCAAGAACGCATTTGAAATGAGAAATGTTAATTTTCACAATTTTTCAATTTAGGAATTAATAAAATCGCATATAATCTCCCGAGAAATGAATGAAAGGTTCATAGAACTCTTCAATCTACAATTTTATGCGATTGCGATTTTAAATAGTTATTTTCCGCAACTTTCAATTATGATAGTCATAAAAAGATTCACTCACTGTTAAATATTACATTTTAATTCCATTCTCGTGTGTATGTCTAGGCACGAAAAATTTCAAAGATTAAATTTCATTCCGACTTCAGTTAAGTGCTTTAAATTCTAACATTCCACTAGGGTAATTGATTGCTTAATACCATCTGACTATATTCTGGTCCATCTACTGCTAGTTCCTCATAATTTTGCAGTTGAATGTAACAATCTTGGATTAAGAAAGATTGAATTGGTTCATTAATTGTTCATAACTCATTAATTGTTCATAACTCATTAATTCATTGGATTATATTTCAACAAAAAGATTGTTCGGTTCCTCTAGAGTGTGTGATTATCGGAAGTGTTAGGAAAAGTTTTAATATCCCCAATTTTGTGAATTAAATAGTTTTTATTCTAATTTCAATCAACTGTGGTGTAATTGTCAAGTAAATAATAACAATAAAATCACGTGGTGAAATTCAAATTCATCGACCAACACAATTCAATCAAGAAGCATCATAATCAGCATTATATCCAACTGACTCCCACGAAGCCCTAATTCTGACTGCTGTGTATTTATTTACCAGCAGTCTCGTGCTCGCACGGTGAGTGACTTTCAATAAAGCTTGAAATCTTCTTCTGTTGTCGGTTTTCCGATTTTTTTTCAGCTTTAACAATATTTAGTGGGAGTCAGGAGTCTACATTCTTACGCTTATGCCACCTAAATATCAACACCCTCCGCAAGAACCTCTTCCGAAGAGGAAAAAGCCTGAAATGGCTAGGGATGAAAAGGATCAAAAGGAAGTGAGCAACTTGGAACTATTTCAACTAATCGAAAAGATGAGAGTAGAGAATAATCAAGGAATGGTCTCTCTGAATAATGATTTAGGCTCAAAAATAACAGGAATACAAACATCACTAACAGCTATACAAGATCGTGTTGAAGAAATGGATGTTAAGATCCAGGAAAGCAACACAAAAGCAGACGAATCTTTAAAGCTGGCTTATCAAAACAAAGCAGCCATTAACATGCTGTACCAAAGCAAACTCAAAAATAAAATTGAAATTGTCGGCGCAAGATTGGACAGCACACTAAAAGGGAATGAGCTAACATTAAAAGTGAAACAGCTAATTGAGTCTTTCAATATCGCACTAAGTAATCAGGACATCGCGCAGGCATACCAACGTATTTGTAAAAAATCTGAAGCATTTGTTGTGGTTGTTGAATTTTCCGATTTTGATACTAAAATGAATGTCCTTAAAGCAAAAAAAAATTCTAAATGCAACAGTAAAATTTTCTTCAACGATTGCCTCACTCCTCTCAATCGTTACCTGATGTTCGAGGCTAAAAAAGTTGCTAAGGAAAAAAACTTTCGTGTATTC